GAGGGGAAAAAATGAGGAGCTGACACCAAGGGCTCAAGTGGAAAGCAAATGTTTTGAGAAAGATGATGGCAACAAATGTACAAATGTACTTGACACAATCACAATAGATGTATGTATGGATTGTGATAAGAGTTGTATGAGCCCTCATTAAAATTATTTTTTTTTAAAAGAATATTACATCTTCCAATCTATGAACATAAAAATATCTTTGGACTTATTTGGGTCTTCTTTAATTTATTTCAACAAATTAATAGTTTTCAAAAAGCTTACTTCTTTCATTTGAGTTTCAATGGTATTTTAAAGTTTAAAGTTTAGTTGACAGATTTTTTTTTCTCATTCTTAATAAGGGGGTTTCAAAAGGTTCATGAAAAAACAGAATGGAATATAACAGAATTTTTCCAAGGCACCTAGTATGTACTATTGTATAAACCAAAGAGTCATGGTTTACTGTGCCAGCCTGGCCGATAAACACAAGTGGGATTAACTGAAAGGCAGAGAGATAATGGCTCGGTGAGCCTCGCCTTTCTTGTCATTCGCTCTTTGATCATCGGACCAGTGTGCAACTGCCTTGCTTGTTCTGTGCCTCAATTTAAAGACTACACTACCTGTGGGACGCCTAGCCTGTGGACTGTGTCGCTGTAAGTTGAGGTCCCATTTTTTTTTTGAGGTACCTTTTCCTTTATTTTTTGAGGTATAATATTGAATTTTCTTCCATTGGGGTAAAATATGCATAGCATATAACTTATCACTTTGATGCTTTTCAAGTGTACCATTCAATGGCATGAATGCCACTCAAACTCTTGTGCAACTAACACCTCTATTTATATCTAAAAAACTTCATCCCCCTCCAAAAGAAACTGTACCCATTAAACAAGAATCCCTCGTTCTCCCCTCTTCCCCAGCTTCTGGTGATCAGTAACCTGCTTCTCGTCTCCACGCATTTGTCCATTCCTGGTTCCCTGTAAGTGTAATTATATAAAACGTGTTTATGTGGTTTATTTCACATAGTATAATGTTTTCCAGGGTCATCTACTTCTCTCTCTAGTTAAGACTAATTGCAAAGACATGGTAATGTACTATATCATAATTATCACCATGAGAGTAAAAATAACCATTGTAAATCTCTAATTGCAAGGATCTTTGGGGGAGATTATATAAATATCTTATTAATGCTTTATAGTGCATTGCAGTGTGAAATCAATACTGGTAGAATTAAACTGAACTTGATACTTACATTGAAGATTCTCCCTTACTGTATATTTGTACTGATCTTATCTGAAATAACAGGAGCCATGGTGGTATGTTGGGTAACAAGTTGGGCTGCTGACCACAACGTCAGCAGTTCAAAACTACCTGCTACTCCATGGGAGAAACATGAGACTTTCTGTTCCATGAAATCAGCCCGGAAACCCCTACAGGGTCAGTTTTATTCCATCCAATACCATGAGTCAAAATCACGATGAGTCAAAATCAAGTTGATTGCAGTGGAGTTGCTTTTTATAATAAATTAAGTCCCATATTTATCTTTTAAATTGCTTCTTTTTTATATTTATGTTAATTTCTTTAAACAAATACAATGCTTTGTGTATCAACCATTCTAAAAGTCCTCTACATTTAACCTACTATCTCTTGCAATTTTATTCAGGAAATAAGTCTTTTCTTTGTTGCATTTATACAATGCAGTAAGTTAAAATTTTTTTCTTCTAATTCCAATCACTAGTATAAATCCAAGTACTATTCTCCAGGCAGCTACAATGCTAAATAATTTGTCCAAATGTCAATAGCAATTTTCAAAAATCCTTCCTAACTCAAAATTTAAACATCTGTAAAAAATATTTGTTTTGAGAGTGGCTTACATTCATGACACCTGACCTGTTGCTGTACACACCACAAAAATCAAGCCTCAAATACCATGCAAGCAAAAACGCTAAGCGTCCCTGCAGTAGCCATCTGTATGGTCCAATATCAAATATTAGTTCTACACTGCACTAAGTCATGTGTTACAAATCTTTCTCTGCAGCCTCTATAATTAGTTGTAATTTGCCTCTTTTAAAATGTGTTTCTTATAGGACATCTGGCCTTGAAACTCCCACCTCCCCATTGAAAAAATACTTAGTGTCTAGGCTTTTTTCTTTTTTCTTTCCTTTTCTTTTAATATGAAGAGCTGCATGGGTGGTATAACCAAGTCCAGACTTTAAAAAAATTCCAAGAGCAGATGATGATTAAGAACCATTTCAGTATTACCAACTATAAATGTAAAATAGAACTTTGTTGCAATGTAATTACCTACAGATTTCTAAATCAATCCCTAAAATATTTAAAGTTCACAAAATATTTTTTCATGGGAACATAGCATTTGTCAAGTTGCTTCTAATAACTACAAGAGTTGAGTTAAATTATAAAAGGAAAAAAGAACTGAGCCCAAAGGTTGAATCTGACCCTTAAAAGTATCTACTTAAAATAGGAAATGATTGTAACAGTTCAAAAATAACCTTGATTTCACAGAGATTAAAACAATATTTGTAATATATGAAGTTTGCCATAAGGTTCTTATGAAAATAATACTCATCAAATCACTTTGGTTCCAAAAACATTCCTTAAAACTGAATGTGGAATGTGTGGTAATGAAAAAGTAATAAAAACTAATGTCAGAGATGCTTCTTTTCTGCAAAATAGTAATAAAAACACTCATCACAGTATGCTACTGCCCAGATCTACTTGTTCCATAGATTAGAAAAATTAACACTAAAAATCTCTTAAAACCAAAACTACACCTTTTAAAAAGGAACTAACAATAAATGTTAAGATGAGAAAAGAAATAAGGCAGAAAAAAAATCAGTATCTGCTGCCAAATCTTCAAAGACGGTAATGAAATTTGTTAAGTTGTAAATTTAATACACGAGGGAGTTTCAAAAAGTTCAAGGAAACACGACATTGAAAGATATAATTTTTCCAGACTTTTTGAAGCACCTTCATGAGGACACTTCTTTAGCTTTTCATTCATTTTCCCCACAAACTGCTTAAAACCCCTTGTATTTTAGTCTTCCTAAAATATAACCTGAGAAAATTTCTCCTGGCCTAAGAAGTCATCTAAATAAAAATTCATACAAGGCCTCGTCAAAAATTTTAAGATCTTCAGTCAAGCACTAGAGACAATGAGGGCCTATTGTTAGAATAGAGGAGGTATGCAATTAAGAGGCCTACATAGTATCATCCCATACTTAATAGGAACAGATGAAGTAAAAACAGTATTTTAAAAAGCTAATAGATGTTTCAACCAAATTCAATAGCACCCTTTCTTGTTGTTTCTGAGCACAAGTCTTATTTCAATAAATACATTTCAAAATCCACTGCTGTCTAGTCAATTCTGACCCATAATGACCCTACATAGGGTCTCTGAGGCTAAAAATCTTTACAGAAGCAGGCAGACTTCTCCCACAGAGATTCTGAACCAACAGGCCACCAGGGCGCCTTTCAACCACATTACATAACATTTGAGCTGAAGGGGGCGCCAGGGAGGGGCAGGAGCAGCAGTAGTTACTGCGCAGGGCACTGAGCAGCTGTTGCTAGTAAAGCTGCAAGCTCTACAGCTAGACCACCCATTGCAAATGGTTAATAGACATGTAATAAATAAAATATACTCTAAGATTTATTTATACAAAAGTTCACACATCTCAAAAGTTAAAATAATGGCAAATACTAAAATCCATTCAAAGTGATTAACATGAAGAAGCAGAATCAATCATTTCTTACCTGTATTCCATCTTTAAGTTTCAAAATGCATTCCATGGTATTGATAGTAATCACCACTGGCTCGGAGCCCAGTTTTGTCCATGGTACATGGATTCTCAATTCATGAATATGTCCACTTAAAAAGGTGAATGGTAACTTCAGTTCCTTAAAAGATAAAACATTAAATAAAAGTTAAGTACTTAAAGATGTGTTAATTCTAAAGTTCAAATTTGTTTCTCGAGAAATAAAATTTCCAATTGAATATAATGGAAATTTTTTGGAATGTAAAAGTAGTATACAATAACCAGTTAAACTACAGTTAATGTTAAACTGTACAGACTTACTTTGTGAATTATATTTAGTAAGTTATTTACCCTTCTCAGACATCACTTTCCCATTCTGCTAAACAGAAATAATATATGTGGCCTGATACATTAAGGTTCATTAAGTGGCAGTAGTGGCCA